AGTAATTCCACAGTCAGTACGTTTCTCGTCACTTTAAACATAACAACTTTTGTAATACACGCTATAAACTGTACTGGATGATTGACATAAAGATATGTTAGTTGTGAAAAGGTAGAGTTGTCACTTAAACATACCACAACTGTACTGAATGATTGACATATATATAAGTGTATTAGTTGTAAAAAGGTTGAATTGTCAGATAAACTTACCATAACTGTATTGAAAATGTTAACTTGTACATATATATATATATTTGGTGCGAAACAGTTAGCGCGAGCCATTGAGGTTAAGTCGATACTGTGCATATGGCTCACCAAATAGCAATAGTTGATAAACTTAAAATGTTTATTTGTCTGTTTGCAGGTTGAGGTGAACAATAATACTTTCACCACTTTCAAGCATCGGGAAGGACTACCTCTCAGTAACGTTACGCACCTGTCAATCACCGGTGACGTCATTATACAAGCTGTACAGATACCCATGGAGGCACTTGTGAGTAATTAAAAACACCCAACTTAAATTTTATTTTTAAATTTTCTCAATTATGTCTTCTAACTCAAGGTCAAAGTACTTAATGTGCTTAATTGTTTTTTTTGTTGTTTTTTTAGAAATATAAAACAGTGCATACAGTAGTTGTTAAATCATGGTAAGAAACATTGGTTTTTATCAATAATTATAATTATTATTTAAAACACAATGTTATCAGCTTGTTGACGCCCCCCAGTGGTACAGCGGTATGTCTGCGGACTTACAACGCCAGAAACCGGGTTTCGATACCCATGATGGGCAGAGCACAGATAGCCCTTTGTGTAGCTTTGTGCTTAACTTCAAACAAACAAACAAAAGCTTGTTGACGCGATTCAAAAATTAGTGGTCACATTGATCAAGTGCTGGTACAAACTTAATGATTATGTGATTACTCAGTGCCTTGTAAAGAAATAAACATTCAACATTGAGTTTCATTGAATGGTATGCAGTGACATGGTTAAAACGTTTGATGGTTTATCTTGATTTGGTGGTTATTTTAGAGTTTACAGTTCGAAAATAGTTAGGCCTTGTCTGGACGATAACATTACAAACGTGTTTGTAACTGTGAACGACGGACGACTGGTATTCTTGTACAAATAAATCGAGGCGCCTAAAGTAAGTATAAATACCCGCTTTAATTTTCTCTATTTCTAGTTTATATCTTCTAACACAATTCCTGCTAGCTGGTAAAAACCGGTTCGCATCTCTGTAGGCATCATTTCTACAGAACTTAAACCCAGCTTAACTTTAACAGTCAGTCAAATGGTATTTCATAATACAATCCAGTGGCGGCTCTCAGTCATTACTGAGGCGAAGGCCAGCGATGTTTTGACCCCACCCCCCTAAACCTTTATGGAAAATGTTCATGTGATTTAACTTTGCGTCTTCTTTTCAACAGCCGAAACACCTACGTTTCTCCATACCTGGCGAGACGAAGACTGGAGATATGTTTTGTATTCGTGGAGAAGTCTCGGGTGATGCAGAAAGGTATAACGATTTTAGAAGCATCCCTAATAAATCATTACAAACATATCTCAAATAATCATAGACTTAAAACGGGTTTCTTTTAAACTACATGTGAAATAAAAGTTATCTGGTTGAAAGTTGTATATTTGTACGTACGAAGCAACTATTTAACAATAGAAGTCCATATACAAAGGGTTGATTATTGTTACATCTATGCTCGTTTGTTAATTTTACGTAGCAATTCTTTCCGAGAAACTTCTGCGATACAAGTCCTTTCTTAAATAAAACTGGTTTATTCTTTCTCAATTCAACTTTGCAATACACTTAATTTTCACAGTAACTTTAACTTCAACACACGCTATAATTCACAACGATTTACGCACTTTACTTACGGTGCCTACCGCCCGCTTGACTCAATTATCCGTGCCTATATCTTCTATCTCTCTATCTGCAACTATTCTCTCTCGTCACTTCTTACCGGTCTTATATATACAAAATAGAGGGCGTCTGGCAAACACTCGAGCCTTCAGGAAC